AAAAAACAATGCTGGAAAAATGAAATAAAAGCTGGTTGTGAAACTTTGGCCATTATGAAATGAGTTAGTTGCATATCTCACAAAGAACAAGGAGAGAACCATATAACAGCTTTCGACAACTTTCAGATGTTAAAGGGACACTGAAGGAGTACCTGAAGGCTAAGCAAAACCTCTGGTTATATTTCCAAAATCTAACACTCTTCTCACGATGTGCATTTCAAAACGTCATGGAAGAAAGGATTATTATTGAAAAATAAACTGAAATTGTGGGAAATAAGAGAGCACCATGTATTTTCAAAATTGACTTACTGGCAAGCACAAATTCAAATTCAGAGAATGCCCTCAGTTGATAGCCTCACCTAGTGGTGCTCAAGAGAAGGTATCATGGGCAGAGGGGACTGCTAATTAATATACTCACTTAACAAATCTGAACAAGCTGTCATTTCTCTGGCTCTTACTATCTACATATGTTTCCTCTCTTTCTTCTACCTTTGCCTTTGTCCTCCTACTTCTCTCTTTCCCTTTTTTCATCTCTCAGCTACCTCTTTTCCATCTTCCTCTTTTTTTCCATTTTTCCCTTCTCCCCTTTCTTTTATTCCTACCATGCAGGTTTCCTTTTACTGGACATAAAATTGAATTGAACACCATATCTTATTTAACATAATTTTTTCTTACCTTTAAATGAGATAAGTACATACACAAGCACCTTTTGTAAATTGTAAAGACTATACAAAAGCAGTATGCTTGCTATGTAATAACATATTTCTTTTTCAAAAAATAATACAAACTAAAAATTGCTTTTCATTTGTATCTCTCACGAGGAAAAAGTTCATCACCTTTGTAGAGCAAATATAAGCAACCGCTTTGATTTTTCCATTAGAACTCCAACAGAAGCATTTACTGAAAATACCTACAGAAGTTAGAAACCTACTAGTTGGGAAATACAATAAAGTTTTGGAGCCCGTTAGAACTAGTGACAAGAAAAGAGGTTGGCTGGAGGAGGAAGAGGTGCTTCCATGCTGCTTGTTACCCAACACCACAGCAGAAAGGCAAGAACTACATTAAAATTTTAATCTCCAAGATAATTTAGCTTCCCATTGTTTATCTGTTATAACTTTAATGTTCTGGTTATATTATAATCTAAAAAGTATCAATAATGTTGCCCAAAATACTACTTAGTACTTGATATCATTTCCCTTAACACATGCATAGACCAAGATCTGAGTTAGACAACTTCGATTCTTGCTTTCTTACCTGTAAAAGTATAAAATATGCTCTAAGATCATCTTTTGTTCGTGGACTGTAAAAGAAACAAGCATAATTGATTACAGATTCATATTTGATCTTATAGCATCGAACAAAAAATGATCACTACATGTTTCTGCGAGAACTGAGTTGGTAAAAGCCAAAAATGAGACTTAAGTTAATATGTATGATTACTGAGACAGTAACATTCACGATATGCTGGGAATATAGGTTCCTCTGTGCTTACCCTTGGCTGGTTCTGAAGATAACTACAAAGTGAATTAAGTAGGCTATAACATTTTTGGGGGTAAATATCATGACTAACTCAGGAAGGAGTTAAAAATCTATGAACAATCAACAATTTTAGAACACTTATGTTTTTGTTTTAATAAAGGATAGCTGATATCTCACTTAAAAATACTGATGCACTGAAGTAAGAAAATATGTTTGTGTTTACAGGTCTATTTCTGAAGAGATAGATCTAGAAATGTCTGCAAATCAAATCACACTTTAAATATGTGTAGTATGTTTCAAATTAAATTCTAAATTAAATTCATATTTTAATACCTCTGAAAAATGACTAACTGGTAATTGTCTTCCATGTTAATCTGGATTGTCACATTATCAAATCTGACCAAGAGTTTTTGATATTCCAAAACTGGTAAGGGTTTCTTTTTCACCCTCTCGGGATCGATTGAATACGTTCTCGCAAATACCCGGAAGTAACTTCTTCAATTAAAAATGGTTCACCTGTATGTTAACCAGATGCAATTCATGATCCTTGACTGGGTCCTTGATTGAAAAACAAAACCCAGATATTAAAGAACACTTTTGAGACAACAGGGGGAAATGTAAATGTGGACTGCATTTGAGAGAGTCCTATTAGAAAAATGTTAAATTTGTTTGGTGCGACACAGTGTTATGGTGATGTAGGAGAATGTTATTAGGGAATACACGCTGAAGTAATTAGAGGTGAAGTGTCTTCCACTTGCTAAAAAAATAATTACACATGTGCTCACATACATAGGGCGAGAAGGCAAAAAGCAAATGTGGCATTAAATTAACAACTGGTGAATCTAGGTGAAAGATGTACTGAGTTTTCATCATCTTTAAGTTTTCTGTGGTTTGAAAATTTTCAAAATTAAATGCTGGGGGAAAAATGGTTCCCCTCCCCGTATCTCCTTGAATTTCCTTTAAGAAAATAAAATCACTAAATAATTATTTACTTTTCTGTTATAGTTACAAAATAAATCTAAAAACATAAACCATTACCCCAAATGTCCTAAACGACCTTTACAAAATGTGAAGCTACATAATCTGAAAATAAATATATAACATATGTATTAAAATGTGAAAAATGTATACACATATTTTTATAAAAATGTTTAGTCAGTAACATTTCTTTGTAAAATAACTATCTTGACTGAGGATTTAAACTGTTTACACTTAAAACAAATCTAAACTATTTCTGTCTGTAATATTCTAAATAATTGTCATACTATTTTCTGAATGGGACTATTGTTATGTTTTAGAAATTATATTTGGAAGTATTTTAGGGGCGCCTGGGTGGCTCAGTCGGTTAAGTATCCGACTTCAGCTCAGGTCACTGTCTCGTGGTTCATGAGTTTGAGCCCCACGTCGGGATCTGTGACGACAGCTCAGAGCCTAGAGCCTGCTTTGGATTCTGTGACTCCCTTTCTTTCTGCCTGTCTCCTGCTCACACTCTGTGTCTCTCAAAAAATAAATAAATGTTAAAAAAAATTTTTTTTAAATGCTCAAGGCAATTCATAAATACTAAAATTCCTGGTGACAGGCGAACACTATTTTTTCCATTTTATGGCAATACCATGCCAATTTCCAATTTCCTGTCCTGGGGACTAGTAATCCAATGCAGTACACAGTTCTGCGCACTCAAGTTGTGGCGGGAGATCACAGCTCTAGGCCAGACTGCTTGGGTTCTAGTCCTGACTCCAGCACTTACTGTGTTAACTTGGGCCATTTATGTAACTTTTCTGTAAATTAGTTTCCTCTACTGTGAAATGAAAATAATTGTATTACCCACTTCACAGGCGTGTAGTGAAGATTCAATGAGAAACACATGGATGATTATTAGAAAGGTGCCTAGCGCATAATAGTCAGCGAGCTTTAGACCTTGTTGTTATTCTAATAAGCCCAAAACAAAACAAGATTTTTGGGTAAAGACCACACGCTCTTTAGATAGATCAATGGAATTATCATTTAATGTGTCTCAGGCACGCTTCGGCAGGGCATGTGCTAGGCGAGAAAGCACTGAGTGCTGAGCGCGGACTGAGGCCGGGCAGGGTCAGGCCCCTGGGCTTCCTCATCTCTCCGGAACGCTCCGCATGTGCTAAATCTCTCCATTTTCAGTAAAGCACTACGTGTTTGACCACAACCATACAATTCAAGGAAATGCAAACTTATTACTGAAATGATTAATTAGGAAAAATACTGTTAAGTTAAAAATCACATGAAACTACACAGTGTGATGTCAATTGTTTAAAAAAGGTGACTAGGAAAAAAGATGGCAAAATGTTAACATGTTATACTTTAAAAAAAATGTTTTAATGTTTTATTTTTTGACAGCGTAGAAACAGAGTGTGAGTGGGGGAGGGGCAGAGAGAGAGGGAGACACAGAATTCAAAGCAGGCTCCAGACTCTGAGCTGTCAGCACAGAGCCCGATGTGGGGCTCGAACACACGAACTGTGAGATCATGCCCTGATCCAAAATCTGACGCTTACCCGACGAGCCACCCAGGCGCCTCAACATTTTTATGCTTTTAAATAATACTAGTAGTGCTTTCTCTAAATTTTCTGTAATAACCATGAATTTCTTTGAAAATCAGAGCAATGTTACTTAAAAATACGGAGCACATTTAACATTTAATAATTTTGATATTTTTAAATGGGGCTTAATATAAACATTCGGATTATAATTTAATGGTATTTCTTTGGCTTCAAAAGAAGCTATTATTTACATTATATCCTACTTAAATAATATCATTTTAAATAATATGGACTTTTCAAAGTATATTGTTGTGTTATGCATATCCACAGTTTCAACGTTATCAATCACATGGCCCATCATTCCTTATATAACGATTCAAGATTTAGTTCTAAGAAAAAAATACTTCAGTAGCCAAACTTATATTTCCTTATATTAGAAAGAAGAAAAATTTTGCTCTAGTTACCAAGAAGTCCAAAGCTAAATTTAATGTCCACGTTATTTAATTCTAGATTACAATGTAACTACCCATCCCGTTTTTGTTCCACACACATATCTGTACATAACAAATTTTATATGTAATTTTTTTAATGTGTATTTATTTTTGAGAGAGAGATAGAGTGCAAGTGGGCAAGGGGCAGAGAGGGAGACACAGAATCTGAAGCAGGCTTCAGGCTCTTGAGCTGTCATCACAGAGCCCAAAGCGGGGCTCGAACTCACGAACTGCAAGATCATGACCTGGGCTGAAGTTGGATGCGCAACTGACTGAGGCACCCAGGTGCCCCTATATGCAATTTTAAAGGACTCACAGATCCTCTGAAGCTCACCTATGGACCTTCCTGAGAAGTCACAAATCTCAAGTTAGAAAGCTTTGTCATAAACAGTTTATAATTTCTTTCTGATCTATGTTTTTATAACAACTAAAATTTTTTTCTGAGAGTAAACCACAGACATATATATTAAAGACGTATGGGATGTAGAAATTATCTGTATCAATTAGCTAAATGTAAGTTACAATTACCCTTTCCATTCTCGTAATAGGCTGTTAATGATTCCCTTTAATACCGTCTTCTGAATGTCTTGAGGCTGTAGGCAAAAGAAAATCATAAAATAATTAGGATTAACTACTTAGGTGACTTTTATATGTTAATTATAGTGACAGATCTGTTTCAATGTTAAAATCTGACTTGAGGACCCAGAACTGCCACTTACGGTGGTATCACTTTCACATCTGAGAGGGCTAGAGCACCAATGACATAAGATTACAATGAGAATGCTCCCCGGGATGGGTCATGCACCACCAACTGCACAAACACATATGGTGGCCCTTTGATGACCAACATCAGTTTTGTATGACTGAAAAACAATTTCACTTTCCCTGGATTAACAGGATAAAATCACGAGCACAAGTCCAAGAGTAGCATGTTTAACAGTATAAAATGGCTGCATATATTTAAATATATGAATACCACCAGAACCAAGTTATAATTAGCAGTTAAACCCACAATCCTATTAAGTGCAATGAAATTATGTTCAATAAAAAAATAAGACTTTTTTTCAGGGGCGCTTGGGTGGCTCAGTCGGTTGAGCGTCCAACTTCGGCTCAGGTCATGATCTCATGGTTTGTGAGTGGGAGCCCCCGATCGGGCTCTGTGCTGACACAGCTCAGAGCCTGGAGCCTGCTTCAGATTCTGTGTCTCCCTCTCTCTCTGCCCCTCCCCTGCTCATGCTCTGTCTCTCTCTCTCTCTCTCTCTCTCTCTAAAAAATAAAACATTAACAAAAAGACTTTTTTTTCATTGTTGGATTTGGAAAAGGCATTAAAAAAAACTCCTACATAGTTTAATAATTCAAATACTAAAAAAAATCGTATTTCCATTTTAGAGAGTTTTCCCCTTGTGTTGTAGATTTAATTTTTTAGTGTCTATAAAACACTGACAATATTCCAAGTCAAAAAAGGTCAGACAAATGTCCTAGGAGTGGAACTTTTTGGGTCACAGTATATATGTATATGTTTAAGAGTTAGTGAATAATGCCAAGCAATTTTCCAAAGTGGTTGTACTAGTTTATCCGTCCCTCATCAAGGTATGAAAGTTCCATCTGCTCCACAATATTGTCAATTCATGGTAAGGTGCTTAAAAAACTTTTTACTCATTTTGAACAAATATGTAATGCTATTTACATTTCTCTCATGACAAATATTATTATATACCTTTTTATATATATTAAACAGTAAAGTACTCAGGTATCTATTACTTCTTTTATTTGAAAGTGTACAAGAGGTCCTAGCCAGTGCAAGATAAAAGGACTAAAGAGGTCAAAGTCTCCTTTTTCACAAATGACAGGATTGTCCATACAGAAATCCAAATAAATCTACTGATGCACTATTAGAATTAGTGAGTGAATTTGGCATGGTAAGTAAATAAAGATAAATATATGAAAGTATTTCTATATACTAGTAATTAGAATATGAATAGCAAATTACAATAGCATCAGAAAAAAATCAAGTACTAGAAATAAATGTAACAATACACACGTAAGACCTTTATCCAGAAAACTACAAGGAATCACCAAGAAAAACTAAAGACGATCCAAGTCATTGGAGGGATATATCATGCTTACGGATTTAAAAAATGTCAGTTCTTCACAAATTCATCTATTGTACTGTGGTTCTCAAAATGTGGTCCCTGGATCAGGAGCATCAATATATCCTGGGAATTTGTTAGAAACACAAATGCTTGGGCTCTACCCAGACCTACTGAATCTGAAACTTTGTATTCTAAAAAACCCTTCCTGTGATTGCCATACATAGTAAAGTTTGAGAACCACTATAAATTCAATGCAATGCCAGTACAATCAAATAATTTTTAATCTTTTGCTGACTAAGTGAAGCGTGATTTTATTTCAGCAAGCCTTAGATGAACTGGACACAGAAGTATTTTCTGCTTAATTCTTTTTTAATTAAATAAATCTAATTTTCTGAGAATTCCAACTAAATTTACTGTAAAATTATATCAGAATTTCTATATAATTATGTTGCAAAGTGATTATTACAATATTTCTGTGGCTGCTTTTGAAATACAGAAGAGATAGAGAGTTATGCTATTTGCATCTGTTCACAATCAATACTTACAGTATTAAGTAAGGCATCATATACAGCATTCACAAACTTAGCATTAATCCCAGAGTCTTCAATGGTATTAAATGAGGTGGTGGCATCTTTCTGCAAATTCAATTAATAAGTTTAGTGTATATATAACATTTAAGGACTGTTCTTAGTAATATCTGAGCCCTAACCATTACTTCATAATTTCTTGGTAGGATGTTGAAACAGAACTTTCAGGGCCAAGTTGCTAAAAATAAAAATGAATGTATGAGAATTATTTTAGTCACTTTCCTTTTTAAAACTGAAAGAGTGGCGTGAAACATCAGCATTAGTACAAATACAAACAACCTTTAAGATATCAGTTAAGTAATATTTATTTGTGATATGCATAATTTCAGAAATTAATACCTATAAATGTTTCTTTAAACGGCTGCTTAAGTCAATATTGGGTAGGGAAAGAGCTGAATTATCGTATCTTCTTTGGAAAATTGAAAACTAGGGGCACCTGGGTGGCTCAGTTAGTTAAGCATCTGAAGGGCTCAGGTCATGATCTTGCAATTCGTGAGTTCAAGCCCCACATCAGGCTCTGTGCTGACAGACAGCTTGGAGCCTGGAGCCCGCTTTGCATTCTGTTTCTCCCTCTCTCTCTGCCCCTCCCCTGCTCATGCTCTGTTTCTCTGTCTCTCGAAAATAAATAAAAACATTAAAAAAGTAATAAAAGAAAAAAAAGAAAAGAAAAAAAGAAAACTAAAATTGAAAAATGTGTTTTATGTGTAATTACCTTAAATGCAGCATTTAGTTCTGGGAAAGAATCAAATGTTGTCAGATAAAAATCATGTACTGCTTTCCAATCTCCTGACGACTTAGCTTTTTCTGTATCTTCCCTAAAATGAAAACATACATCAACTATGACAGAAATACTACCCGGATAAAACAGCACTTCTTCTTTACAAATGTCACCAAGCATGTAACTTGAAATACTGAAGCCGTTCAGTATGTTCCAGTTAATGTAAATATAGTTTATGAATCTACAATTCTTAATTAGCTCATGATATCAATTCAGCTTTCCCATCTACATGCTTTTGAAAAAGGTCATTCTTGACATGCTCCTTACAATTAACACTTCCTTTCCTCCACTTCACAGCTAAGCTTCTTGAAAGATTTGTTTACATTCTCTCTCTACTTTCCCATTATCACTCAGCCCTTCAAGTATCCATTTGGACTTTCTTCAGTAGTGACATAGGTTTTAGAGTTTATGTGTTACATAGTAGATGAAATGCTATTTTTTTTAAAAGGCAACATTTTATTATTTTATCACCACCTTCATCTCCTTTTTGTCTATTTTAACTCATATTCTGTTATTTAGTGTTTCTACTATATTCTATTATTTAGTGTTGCTGCCACATTGTCTACCCCTTCCCTGTTATTTATACATTTGTTTTCACCTTCAACTTTTGTGTCTTCCCTCTTGACCAATGCCTTACAAACGAGTCCAATTTCTCACACAAAAATGTTAAAACGTGGAAAGTACTAGCACGCAGATATCCATATGTCTACATGTAACAGTGAGCTGAAACTTACTGAAAGTCTTTCATGGTCTTGGGCTGGTTAGGAAGAACAGGTTCTGGAAGAACTGGGGCCTTCATTTCAGATGATGATGCTTCTGTAGAGATACGCTGTTTTTGTCTAACATCAAGGCAAATTGGTGGTAGGTCTCTCACTGTGAAGTATAAAAAAAGCATTCAATGTAATTAATGGTAAAACTTTTCCAAATTATAAAATGCCAGGCTACCTCAACGTGAACAGAAAACAAATGAATTATTTAGTAATACATTTGCCTTGGGATCACATAACAGAAAACCCACCACAGTTAAAGGGCGCCTACTGTAGGCTCTATTGCCACCAGTCCCCTCCAACCCCAACTTCACTCACAACAAATATTACGCCGTATCTTAATTAAAAGTTATCTACAGATATAATCTACTAAATTTAAAGTTTCTTTCCTTGCTCCTTTCCAGAAAGTTGTGTTTCGGGGAGTATTTCAGTGAGACTCAATGTTTTTAATGTTTATTACCTTCTTGAATATATGCAAACCATTTATTTACATCCTCTGTAATTATTGACTGTAGTTTTAGTTTTTTTTTTAAAAAAAAAACCTATTTGCATGACACTTTTCCATATTTTCCTTTTTCTTTTTGCAAATATTTGCCAGCTCACTGTTTGCTTTTTTTGTTGCATTTCATAATCTTTTAATTGCAAAACAAAACAAATACAGAAGAATCTCACAAAAGGAATGCATGGCTTAATGAATTATTAGAAGACAAATAGCTTTGAAATCATGAATCAGTTGAGTGACAGAGTCTTACCAAGCCCCTCCTTTCTCCAATTACCCAGATGTGAGCCTCTGCCTGTTTCAATTTTAGTTAATTTCTGTCAAATTTTTTTATCAATTTCTTCATTTCTTTTTAAATTTTAAACATTTCCTCCTTTTCATCTTCTAGTTCTCTTGGGGCATTATCTGGTATGTATGTTTGCTTTTGTGTTCCCTCTGGTTTATTTCTAAAATTAAAAAAAATATTTCTAGGGGCGCCTGGGTGGCGCAGTCGGTTAAGCGTCCGACTTCAGCCAGGTCACGATCTCGCGGTCCGGGAGTTCGAGCCCCGCGTCAGGCTCTGGGCTGATGGCTGATGGCTCAGAGCCTGGAGCCTGTTTCTGATTCTGTGTCTCCCTCTCTCTCTCTGCCCCTCCCCCGTTCATGCTCTGTCTCTGTCCCAAAAATAAATAAATGTTGAAAAAAAAAATTAAAAAAAAAATTTCTAATTCTTTCCTTATAATTCTGATTTTATCATTATATAATATTTCTCTCTCTCGCCAGGATTTTCTTTGTTCTAGGTCTACTTAGATTATCTGATATTAATACAGCCACTACTGTATATCTTTTCCCATCCTTTTGCGTTTATCCTGCCTGTATTGGTATATTTGAATCGAATTTCTTACAGATGACATACAGTCAGGTCAGATTTTTAATCTACTCTGCCAATCTCTTTTTTCTGATGTATTTTAGACCATGTACAATCAATGTAATTATTGATCCATCAGGGCTTAAGTCTGTTGTTTTATTTTTTTGTTTTCTATTTGTTTTATTTTTTTCCTACCTTCTTGTGGGTTATTTTGAACATTTTTTTAGAATTCCATTTTGATTCATCTGTAGTGTTTCTGAAAGGTTGCTCTAGATATTATATACATACAACTTATCATAGTCTACTGGTGTTACCATTTTACCAGTTGGAGTGAAGTATAGAAATGGTACCTTTTACGTCCCTTCACTGTTTTCTGTTTATAGTGATCTTACCCTATAGGTAAGGTGCTGTGTTTGGCTGCTTTTCAGAGGCCTTTAGTTTTCAGAGATGTGATTATCGAATGTCTTGACGTAGATTTCTTTGGGTTTATCCTGTATGTGGTTCACAGTTTCTTGAACCTGTTTATGTCTCTTCCCAAATATAGGAAGCTTTCAGTCATTTCCAAGTACTTTTTCAGCCTACCCTCTTTCTCCTGTCCTTCTAAGACATCAATAACAAGAAAGTAACCTCTTTTGTTACAGTCCCACAGGTCTCTGAGATAATTCATGTTTTCCTTCTGGTCTATTTTCTGCCTATTGCTCAGAGGGGGTAACTTCCATTGTTCTATGTTCCAGCTAATTTATTCCTGTCTCCTCCATTCTGCTTTCGAGCCCATCTACTAAGCATTTTATTTTGGTTATTTTACTTTATGAATTATTAATACTTCCAAACCAATAGAGTAAATGAATATTTTTCATATCCTAAATTCTACAATAATGAAATGTACACATATAGAATTTAATTCTCCTCTTATGTAATCAGGATATATCTTCAACTAAGCAAACATAGCTGTATCAATCATCACAGTAGTAACATAGCTGTAAGGTCTTTCCTTCCTTATCCACTCCCCCAGTCTAGTATCTGTCCTTGCATCTATGACTAACATCAATAAACTAGGATAAATTTCATTAGTGTCAGGGTGTATTTTAAAGTAAAATATCTTTCATATTAGAGGATACTTCAGACATGCCAATTTCTTATAATTAACAGCAATGATTTTCAAACTTTACTGTGTATCAGAATCACCTGGAGAGCTTGTTAAAACACAGGTTACTAGCTCCTTCCCCAAGGTTTGCGATTGAGTAGGTCTGGGGTGGGGCCCAAGAATCTGTATTTCTAACATGTTACCAGATGATGCTGATGCCGCCGGTCCGAGGATCGCACAGAGAAACATTGTTCAGTGGGTACTAGGAAAGACCAGTGATGCTGACAGTACGAGACTATTAAATTTCTTTCATTCAGTTCCAGAACTGATTTTTATACACTTTATTCAATATGGAAATACCCAATTTCTAGCAATTTTTACTTTAGGCATATATTGGACTGAGGTTCAATTTATTAGCAAGTAAAATTAGGTATCTCTACAAATGATATCTTGTTGTGTTTGGAAACCTATAACCATAAGAAAGAAATGGGCATCTCAGCAGCAAAGAAACAGATGATAGTCTCCTCTCTCCAACACCGGTCTTGTTACTGTTGTCTTGAGGCTCCTCTACAGTTTCTCTTCTTCTTCACCAGGCTCACCCTTTCCTATCCCTTCCCACACACCTTTCCCAACCTGGGCTATAAACACCCACTATTAGATACACACAGACTCATTCAAATATAAATTAACTTACTCACTCACAAAGCGTATATATACATTTTTATACCCACTCATTTTTATTAATACCATGCTGAGGTGGAAGAAGAGTGAAAAAGTCTAGTTAGTAAGATAGCTGGATTTTGGCAAAGCCTGAGAGTGGGAAGATTCTTATGTAAGAGAAATAGTAATGCTGAGACCGAGAGGATTATAGGGTGAGATTAGATCCAGAGGCCCAGATGGGATTTATTTTTAGGTCAGAAGGTAACTTGGACAGAAGAGTAACACATAGAATGTTAATGTACTATGTAAATGGAACTTGAGTCAGAAAGAAAGGCAGATCATTTGCTCACATTAGTGAATGAAAGCCAAACTACAGGATGTGACTTTCAACTATTAAGAAAGGAAGAACAACAGCTCACAGCTGCTCTCATGTCCCTAAATATCAAGGCATTGTTTCCAGAGACAGGCTTTCAGTCTGTTCTCACAGATGGTTATTAAAGTCTAATTCAAGAGAGAAAATCAATAAATGTGGTGATGAGAGATTAATTAAATCTCAAACTGATATTATAAATAGAACAATTCTTTGTTCCATCACATGCAGGCTTTTCTGCAATATAGAATACTGTAATACGCTGAAAAAAGCCAAAATGTGTTTATCAGTGAAAACCTGTCATTTTGGTTTCATTCAGCCAATACTTGGGAACAATTTGTGCTAAATTGATAAGCAGTAATCGTCTTCCCTAGCTTTTAATATAGTGCTGCCAATTTTAGTTGGTTGCTTAGAAACATTAAGTGAAACACTTGAAGCCAGTGCAAAAAGATTAAGGGTTCTGGTGGGGGCTGGAAGTATATTGGGTGAGGGGGGAATGAAGATCATAATACAACTATGTATAAGGGTGGGAGATTATCAGCCAAATTTCGCCAGCTCACTCACTGTTTTCAAGAAGCGATCATAAGCTGACTCTGGTTGGAAACTAGTAATACGTGGTTTTCCACAAGTGGAGCCACCAAAATTAAGACTGACATTTTAAATTGGCCACATGATTAGGACACTGAAGATTGTTCCTGGCCATCCAGCACAGATGGCAATGGCAGCATCAGAGGTAAACACGAGTCTCTGTGGAGGCTGGGCGTTCAGGAGGAGAACCTGGGCCTGTTCCTTATCCCTCTACTGATGGAAAGGAAACACTAGTTTAAAAGGTTTGCTGCTGGTGACACGGTGTTGCAAAATGCCATCCTCTAAGTGTCATCCCAAATAATTTACACTCAAGTAATAATAAAAAAGTAAGGACTTGGTCCCATTGTTGGCTCACTTACTCCTATAATCTTAGACATGTCACTGAAACTCCTTAGACCACACTTTTGACACTATAATATCAAAGAGATGGCGGGGGGGATGCCTGGGTTACTCAGTCAGTTGAGCATCCAACTTCGGCTCAGGTCGTGATCTCGCAGTCTGTGGGTTCAAGACTCGTGTCGGGCTCTGTGCTGACATCTCAGAGCCTGGAGCCTGCTTCAGATTCTGTGTCTCCTCTCTTTGCTCCTTTCCTGCTCACACTGTCTGTCTCTCTCTCTCTCTCTCAAAAATAAATAAACCTAAGAAATAATAATGATAATATGAAAGAGATAACCTAAGTTAGTTATTCCCAAGGTTCCAAAGAACTTCAAGGACCACCTCATGGGACTGGTGCTGGTGGATATGTTTGCTCAGAGCAGCTTAGCTTTTCTCTGCTTTTAATATAATGATGCCCCAAGAAAAACTCTAGTTTTCAAAAAAGTGTTTTCTATGAAAATAAAAAATAAAAATAAGTCTGAAAACCACTAGTTTAATAATTTCTAATGTCCATCTCTACAACTACTTAAGAACAAAAGGGACAGAACTTACAAACCAATCAAAAAAGTTGAAAAAAATTCTCTATTAATAGAGTGAACTATACGATGACATTATGACAGAAACTGAAGCAGCATGGAAACGTAACATGCATATGTCTTCTAAACACCTGATTTTAGTTATGA